AGTAAGTTAAAGATAGAGGGAACATGTGATGATTTCAGAAAGTCACACAGGAGAAGCTGACACCGAGAAGGACGAGGGGCTTAGCTGAGCCAAATATGCTGCCTTCCTTAGTGGATATATGAGGCTACATTTGTCATCCAGGGTGCAATCCTGCACACACAGAGCTGGAGGAGGGGAGTCCTTCCTGACAACTGCACTGATTAGCTGGTGCCCTGAAGAATGACGTCTGATTACCTTTATCTTCGGCTGCAGAACTGCAAATGTCACTAATGGTCATAAAATCATCCAGTCTTTTTCAAAATACAACCGAAGTAAATTAATCTATTGAGCACAGTTTATTCAATACTTCTTACTCTGGCAAAACTCCCAAAAAATCATTTGCTTGCTGCATGTCTCCACCATATGGTGTCATTCAATGCAGACTTTCTTTCCTGCATTGAAATCCAAAATTTAATGGAGTCGAGTCACCTACAGAGTTTTTCCAGCTCAAACCTACTAATGTAGTTTTCTGTCAAAGAGGTCACACAGCACTTTCCAGTTTGATACATAAACCAATACCAGCATGAATCCTCTTTTCATAATTAAAATAAAACTCCTCTGGTTTCAGCAGGTTYGAAGGAAGTATTTTGCCCTGTGTAGAGAAGAGCCAATGCCCAGCACTGGACAATGTCAGCAGTCACTATCTGGCTTGAGAACTTCAAAGTCTTGGCCAGTGACTGGTATACTCTCCTATCTGCAGGTGACTTCTCAAATCAACCCCTCAGCAATCAGTAAAATAAATCAAAAAAACATGACATTGAAATGCATTGAAAACTAAAGTAGTGAGTCATAACCCTTGAAAGCATTTTTTTAATGGGGCCATTTTAAATAGAGCCTTACTGCCAAGGAACAAGGGACAAGAGAAAGAATTTCTGGGTATGAGGGTACATCTAGAACAGGCAAGACAAAGATGCTGGTTTTCCTAGAAACATGAGCTCAAAATCAGGAGAAAGATGCCTGACTATGCATTTAGCTATGCTGGTATTTCATCCTCTCCACCAGACGTACCTAATGTCAGCTAGACACTCTGTGACTCAGTTTCCTCACCTGTAAAACAGGGACACATTTTGATAAATCTGGTTTTGACACAATGACATCATCTTCAATCAATGGTTTTAGAAAAACGCTGGCCATCCTCTGGCTCTGGCATCTACTGACAGCATACCATCTCTCTTGGTAAAGATTGTCATTACAGTGATGAGGAAGCCACAAGCTCTGCTTCATACAGCATTTTCTAAACTTTGGAAAGCAATGTATCCTTTCACGGAGCAGCCTCCCTTCGCCCTTGCTGTGTGCCCACTGCAGATGCTGCTTAACGGTGCCAAAGACTTCAGCACCACACATCTCTCATGCTTTGCAGTTTTATGGCTCATCCTTCCCTCCGTGCTCCAACTGTGACCTTCTACCACCCCTGTCYCACAGCTGTGAGAAATGCTGGTATGCTTCACAGAAGGAGACACTTCCCCTCTGTACTTACTCACTTGGATGAACACTGAAATAATTTAAACCTCAGCATTAACCCTCTTATCACTGGAGTTGGAGCAAGCAGTCATTGAGGGGAGTTTAAGCACTTCCCAGTGCAATCACGACATAGCAGGAACGTGCTCACGGGCAGCTACCACAGCTCAGATGACAAGCAGTAAATTGTTACATCAAGCTGTCTGGATAATTTCTGACTGCTGACCCACACCCCCGGGCTGCCATAGCTGCTTTGGATATATTTGCTGCTGTTTCAGATTTTCTGCCACAAATGATTATTTTGTTTTAGCGAAAGTTAAGAATCTAGAGATAATGTATTGCCCTTCAATCCCCTGCCCAGTCTAGTCAGCTCACCAGGCACCCCAAAGTGCCACCCGCCCTGCCTGAGAGGTTACAGTTCAAAAAACAACTCCAAGAAATGGAAAATAGACAAAGAGGCAGTAAAATGTTGTATCAAGTAATATGAACATTGGAGAACAACCAATCCATCCTCTCCACACACAAAGCACCCAAATAAGTGCAGCCAGATCCCAGACTACACCAGCTTATCAGGACATCACAGGGCAAAAGAGCAGATCTGGCAGCTGCAGGCCAAGTGTGTCCCACAAAGCACTGCACTGCTGGAGGCAGCTGCCCTCATCTTTACAGCAGATGTCCACCCTGTGATGGCTTTGGTGCCTGGTGTGACATGCCCCATCATCAACTCCTCTAAAATAGAGCAGATCCCACAGGCCTTATCTCAATCTCTTTCTCTGTGGCCCAGCAGGTACAGCTGCAGCCAGAATTACCCCAGTGAAGATGAGAAGCTGTCTTTGGTGCTTTTGCTTGTACCTCCTCCCACGCATGAATCCCTCCACTTGCACAAATCCAGAATGTGTCMAGAAGGCTCCTGGACAACATAAGGCTTTGCCCTTGGGAAAGCTCCTTCCCCACTGGTATTTCTTTCTGCCTGTGCTCTCTTTTCATGCAACATCCTCATAGATGGCTCCACAACCATAGCAGCYCTCTCACACCACTCTCATCTATAGTTAGAACCTTTCTTTCCAGTCCTCACTGGACTTTGCCAGCACCCCATTTGTCCCAACCCAACTACCCTGGCATCTAAACCCAAATTGTTTCCAATACTTGGATGACCCTGGTCCATCATCCAACCTTCCTCCAACCTCAATTCAGGCTGCACTATTCCCTCACCACCTCACCTGTCTCCCAGCATTGCCATCCACCCAAGACCTCAGTTTCTTCCTTCAATCCATTCTGCAACCTCTCAAACAATTAATTTATCTCCTCCAACGCTTCTTTTCTCCCTGCGATCTCTCTTTCTCTCCTCAGCATCAAAACTCCACTTCCAATCACAGTTTATCCTTATTTCTTCTTCTCAACCCAGACTGTCCCTCATCTCCCCTACCTGTTGCACAAAATCCCAGGGCATAAAACATCCCAGTAAACTATCCTGGCCAGCCAAACATTGACTGGGTTTTCCCAGTGACTCACCAGACTGTCCATCCCACCCAGCTGGTAGTTTTCTTTCAGCCCCTGAGCACTTTGTCTTAGTCCTGGCCCTCCCTGAACACCCAACCTCTTCATCCAGTCTGTCTCTGCCATGATTGAACTCTTCTAATGTTGTGCATCAAAAACCAGCCCTTCTACCTCAGCAAGCTATCTTCTAGCTCACTCAATTCCTACAGCCAGGATTCAAGTYCCAGGGTGGCCTCCTCCCACCTCAGCTGGGTTGTCCAGCGCCAGAGTTGCAGCTCCTCCCAGACTTTTCACAGTCAGTCCCTGAACACTGCCTTCCATCCTTGCCAGGTTCTTCCATTGCTCCTTCCCTCCTCAGGCCAAGTGCACCACAGCCATTCTGGTTTCCAGAGCCCTCCCAAGCATTCACCCCTCCATCACACCTTCACTGACTTGACCTTGACTGAATCAACTCTAGGCATGCTGATTCCATCCCAACAAAGATTCCAGCTGTAGCATCCTCAAGCCTTCCAGCCTCTGCCTAGACCTGCTTCACAGAATCACGGAATCAATTAGATTGGAAAAGAAAGACCTCTGAGATTGAGTCCAACCCATGATCAAACATTACCAACACCACCATGTCAACTAGAGCATGGCACCAAGTGTCATATCCAGTCTTTCCAATCTTTCCCTGAAGGGATCATGACTYCACCACCTCCCTGGGCAGTCCTTTACAATGTCTAATCACTCTTTCTGTGAAGAAATTCTTCCTGATGTCTAACCTGAGCCTCCCCTGAGGCTATTCACTCTTGCCCTGTCACTTGGGTCATTTCTACGTGGGAGAAGAGGCCGATCCTCACCTGGCTACAGGTAGTAAGGTCACCCGAGTTTTCTCTTCTTCAGACTAAACAATCCCTCAGCCATTCCTCATAAGACTTGTGCTCCAGGCCCTTCACCAATTCTGCTGCCTCTTTTGGGACTCAACCCCTTTTTTTGAGTCGCCCATAACATCTGTGTCCTGACAGGGCCCCAACGCCAGCCCTGGTCTTCCATGGCTGGAGACTCCAAAATTACACAGTTCTCATCCCTTTGTATGGGTGCTGCCCCCAACCTGCATAGCCCCAACAAAGATCCAGGTGTCCCTGCCTGACTGAACACCCCAGGTAGGCACTCAGCACCCAGGCCTGCCAGATTCCCTGGCTRCGTGTCACACAATCACAGGATGGGTCAGGCTGCAAGGGACCACAGTTGTTCACCTGGTCCAACRCTATGCTCAGGCARGGTCATCCTTGAGCACATGGCACAGGATCGTGTCCAGATAGTTCTGGAATATCTCCACTGAGGGAGACTCCACAAACTCTCTGGGCAATCTGCTCCAGTGCATGGCCAACCGCACAGCAAAGTTCTTCTCGTATTCAGGTGGAACTTCCTGTGCATCAGTTTCTGCCCGTTGCCTCTTGTCCTATTGCCCGACACCACCGAGCAGAGCCTGGATYCCTCCTCCTGGTTCCAKCCCCTTGGAACCCCCACTCATGGCCCCAGGCCTGCCCGTGCCTGCCATGAGCCCGGCCGGGCCCGACAGACCCTCGGCCCCCATCACCCCACGCTCCGCGGGGGGATCACCCGTGGCCTCAAGCGCCCCCGGCCCCGCTGGCCCTAGCCCTGGCCCCGGCCCTGGCCCGGCCCCGCTCGCCCCCGCCCCGCTCACCATCCTCGGCGCGGCCCGGGGTTACCATGGGCAACTGCGTCACACCCGCCCCGCGCGCCGACGTGCTCGCGCCGGGGGGAGGGCTCAGAGCCGGCCCCGCCCACCAAACCGCGCGTGCGTACGGGGGCGGCCCTGGCGGAGGGCGGTGGGCGCGGCCGCTCGGGGCTCTGTGATTGGCTGAGGGCGGCCACGCGTCGGAGCGCGGGGGCGGGCGGGGCCACGTGGGCGGGAGGCGGGAGAGGGGCCCGGGACTGCAGGTGGGGACACGTGGGGACGCGGCGGGTGGGACGGGCAGGGGCGGGACGGGGCTGAGGCAGGGGCAGGGGTGTGCCGACCCGTGCCGGAGGTGTGCCAGGGCTCTGCCATGCCGGGCCGAGCCTGGGGTGTGCCAGTGCTGTGCCGTGCCGGGCCGTGCTGAGCTGAGCCTGGGGTGTGCCGAGCCGTGCTGTGCCTCCCAGAGAAGAGCAAGGAAACTGATGAATGGTCTGGCGTTCAAGTCTTATGAAGAGTGGCTGAGGGAGCTGTGAGTGTTTAGCCTGGAGGAAAGCTTCGTGGGGGGACCTTATCGGTCTCTATAACTACCTGAAAGGAAGTTGTAGCCGGGTGGGAGTCGGCCTCTTCTGGGCAGTCAGCGACAGGACGAGAGGATATGGTCTGAAGCTGTGCCAGGGGAGATTCAGTTGGACACTAGTAAGAATTTCTTTACGGAAGGGGTGATTAAACATTGGAAAGGACACTGAAGGAGGTGGTGGAGTCACCATCCCTGGAGGTGTTTARCGAAAGACTGAATGTGGCACTTGGTGCCATGCTCTCGTTGACATAGTGGTGTTTGGTCATAGGTTGGACTCAGATGATCTCAGAGATACCTTCCAGCCTAATTCATTCTGCGATTCTGTGCTGTGCAACAGTGGGCATATGCTGCAGCACCCCGGGGAGCATGCAGGGCAATGCCAAGACAGTGTAGAGCAACAGAGGKGTGTGCAGAGTGGTCCCATGGGACCACAAGAGTAGGGGTGCTGTSCTCTGCACACACAGGGTGTAGTGCCCCTGTGGGAGTGCCTGCAGCCTTGTGGAGCAGTGAGCTGGACCCTACAGTACTGTGCAGCACCGTCCCACCCCAAGGAGGGGGTGCTGTGGGGTGCAGCCCACATGGGGGGACTCCAGGCAAGCAGGGCTGCTGGAAGCGCAGCCTCGCTGCAGTTTTGTGCCGACAGCAGGAGTGCAGGGTCCTCCTGAGCTCAGGGCTGCTGAAAGTCCAGTTGTCCAGTTAAACATAAACCTGTGATGGCTCTCACCCAGCTGACTGCCCCTGTGGCCGTGRCAGGCCTGCCCTCAATGAGCAAGCAAGGCAGGATCCTGCTGAGCAGCCTTTTTCCCCTGCCCAGACACACACCAAAATGGCCACAGTTCCACTTGGCTTCAACATCGACTCTCCACGCTGGGACCAGAGCACCTTTGTGGGGCGCCTGAAGCATTTCCTCAACATCACTGACCCTCGGACTGTGCTGGTGCCGGAGAAGGAGCTGGACCAGGCCAAGGCCCTGGTGGAGGGCTGCAGGTGAGGAGCTGTGTCCATGGCCATCCCRACCACTGTGCAGTGTTGCAGAGGGTTAGAGGCAGTCATTCCCAAGCAGGTATGCTGTGATGTAACATTGGAGGTAGTTTTGGGGGGGTTTCCCATGCTTCTTCAAGCTGTGACACGTATCTCTCTTGGGARGTGTTTCCCATGCCTTTCATGTGGTGCCTGGAGCTCTGAGCCTTGGCAGTGCCAGGTGCTGACGGGTCTGTGCAGCTTCCCCTGATGGGCTTTGGGCTTGCAGGGCCGGTCTGGTGCCGCCAGGAAGCAGCCAGGAGCAGYTGCTCTATGCCAAGAAGCTGTACGACTCAGCCTTCCACCCTGACAGTGGCGAGAAGATGAACTTCGTTGGGCGGATGTCCTTCCAGGTGCCGGGGGGCATGGCCATCACTGGCTGCATGCTCCAGTTCTATCGGTGAGCTCCTGGGTACACCAGGCTGGGGATGCAGCCCTGACAGCCCCTAGCCCCTCTCACAGCATCTCCAGTGGCTGGAGCATGGCCAGTCTGCCTCCTCTGGGGCTGGGTGAAGCCCAAGGCATGCCCATGCCTGTGTCCCATAGTCAAGCTCCGTGTCTCTGGGCTCTGTCCCCAGCACTCAGCCTGTGGTAGAAGCATTACAGATCACTTTGGCCCCTGGCATGGCCGGGGATGGTCTCACCTCACTCTGAGCTCAGCTGAGCTCTTCCCAGAGCCCCTGTAATGATTAATGCAACAAGTCCTGCTTGGTTCCTGCTCTTGTTCTGTGGCCATAGCAGTCCTTGGAACCGAGGACCAAATGTGTCCCCAGGCCAGGCTGCTTCAGCATCCCCAGCTCCTGCTGACAGCTCCCTGCATTTCCCTTCACCCTCCTGCATCCCAAAGCCTGCTCAGACCCACATCTCTGTTTCCTTTCCTGCCCCATGTCAAAGTCCCTGAGACACCAGTAGAAACCCAGACACCCTCATCCCCCAGAGCTGCTTCTGTCCCCGTGTGTCCCCTCCTTGCTGCTCTCTTTGACAAAGGCTTATCTCAGCCCAGCAGAGGATGGCTGCCACCCTGCTGAGAGCTGTATCTCCCACCCCTGCCCAAGTGCCTTGCAGGACTGGGCCTCCCCTTCCTATGTTCCCCAAGGTCTCAGGGCAACCAGAACTCCTGGGATCATTTCCCAGCTCTGCCACTGGCTTGTGACTTTGCCACAATTCCTCAGTTTCCCTTTGGAGACACCATGATGAGTGTATTGYGGGCATCTTGGCTGCCTCCCTGCCAAGCCTGACCATGGGCACAGGCCAGGTGTCCCTGACAGCCCCTGGGTCCTCTCCCGGTCCCTTCCCTCTACAGGACAGTGCCTGCTGTGGTTTTCTGGCAGTGGGTGAACCAGTCATTCAATGCCTTTGTCAACTACACCAACCGCAACGCTGCCTCCCCCATCTCTCTGAGGTGAGTTGGAGCCCCAGGATGGAGAATCTCTATTTGATGCACTCCTGGATGCCCTGTAAAGACCCTCTGTGCCATGTCTTGGGCACAGAAGGAGCAGGGCTCAGTCAGTCTTGGTGATTCTGTTGTCTCCTTTCTCTGAAATCCCTGTCCAGGCAAATAGGGGTGGCTTATGTCACAGCCACCGGTGCAGCCCTGGCCACCGCAGTGGGACTCAACCTCTACACCAAGGTACGCCAGGCCAGGGCCAGGTGGGGCAGCTGGGCACATCCTGCWCTCCCCTGCTGATGCCAGCCTGTTTCCCACAGCGAGCCCCCCCCTTGCTGGCCCGCTGGGTCCCCTTTGCAGCTGTGGCTGCTGCCAACTGTGTCAATATCCCCATGATGCGACAACAGTAAGTGTCACAGTGGCTGGGACCCGGCTCCCTCCAAAGGCAAGTTTGTGGCAGCCGGGCTCCTGGGCTGCCTTAGCCTCCCTGCCTCAGATTGCCATCCTGGGAGCTGGAGGGAGGTGAACTGGGGTCTGGGCATTTGCAGTGCTGTGTCTGTGGTGGAGGGTGCTGGGTGGGATGGCTCAGCCTCTACCTGGAGTAGGAGGGGGATTTTTGGCTGAGGATGGCTGTTCTGGGATCCGTGCTGGAAGATGCCTCAGACCCAAAGGTCTCTGCGTGTCATGGGAGAACCCCAAWCCAGGATATCCTGGTGCTGGGAAGCCCCTGGTGAGGTCCTCGTGGTGACCTGTGTCTGCTATTTGGGGTCCCCCACAGGGAGCTGGGGTGCTGTGAGGGACTGTCCCCTGGCTYAGCTGCGTGTCCCAGGCAGTGTCTGTCCCTAGCACGGCCGGATCCTGCTCACAGCTGTGCCCTGAAGATGGCAGCATCGGCTGGGCTGGAGACTGCGGTGCCCCGAGGTGGTGGAGCCCCGTGCCCTGAGGGCAGCTGAGGCTGTTGTGCCAGCACAGCACAGAGGACTCCTTTGGCACCCCCTCAGCCTGTTGCTGTGCCCTCRCACTTTCCCTGCCATCCTGTCCTCCACTGATGACTGCCTATTCCCTGCAGGGAGATCATCAACGGGATCACAGTGACAGATGGGGACAACAATGAGCTCGGCCGCTCCAGGGTGAGTGTGGTGATGGGGATACGGGCACTGCGATGGGGATACAGCACTGCACTGCTGGGGCTCACCCACTGCTTTTGCTTGCAGAGGGCGGCAGTGAAGGGCATCTCGCAGGTTGTGCTCTCCAGGATCACCATGGCAGCACCGGGCATGAGTGAGTGCGGGGCAGGAGGGTGTGAGATCAGACTGGGGACTCCCCAGGACCCACCACCTTCAGTTTCCCTCATGAAGAAGAGGGAGGGTGGCCCTGCATGCCACATGGCATTTGGTCTCCTCATTCTCTCGGCCATTCCGATCAGAGGTCCCCAAGCCCCTAGCCCTCTTCATGCCAAATCACAGCCTGTGGGAGACATGGAGTGCTCCTATGGCAATTTTGTCCCACAAGGATACATCTTGTGCTCTCTGGCCCCAGCCCCTCACCCTGCAGCTTGGCATCCCCTCTGCCCATGAGACCCTTGATGTGCTGCAAGCCCAGTAGGAGAGATGGGAGCGTGCAAGCACAGACCATGCTGCCCAGGTGTGCAGGGCTCTTCTGTCAGGTCCTTGGTGTCAGCAAACACCSAGTGGCTTCCAGCACAACTAGCTGCTGCCATGCCTCCAGGTGGATGGTTCTGCTGGGACAGCCCTGCAGGGTGGTTGTTTGGGGATCTGGGCTGACCTTTGCTCTCTGTACCTAGTTATTTTGCCCATCATCATGGAGCGGCTGGAGAAATTCACCTTCATGCAGGTAAGTGCATGATTTTCCTGCCAGTGGGTTCTGTGGTGCCCCAGCCCTGCTTCCCAGCTGCTGATATGCTGGGGATCAAATGGGGAGTTGCAGAGCCCAGCTTGCTTTGCTCCCTACTTGAGTCACAGATTCACCAAAGGGCTCTCGAGTGACATGGAGAGGCTTTGGGAGGGTGTCAGGGTTTGGGGGCACTGTTGAGGGGAGAAGTCTGCCCACCCTGTGAATGGGTTTTGCAGTGAGGCCAGGCACTCATTCCTGGTTCTTTTGCAGCGGATCCGGGTTCTCCATGGGCCGCTGCAGGTGCTGCTCTGCGGGGGCTTGTAAGTATCTCACTGCTCAATCCCCTGTGAGTGCCTGGAGTATGGCTCCAAAGCTCTTTTCCTTCAATGAGAAGGGAATGCGAAGCTCCTTGCCTTTCAGCTTGGGCTTTCCCCAGTTATTGAGAGTCATGGGGTATGAACTGAGATCCCCATGGCCGGAGGGCAAACAGGCTGTGATTCCCAAGACTAATGGTCTGCTCTTCTCTGTCCCACAGCCTCCTGTTCATGGTGCCAGCAGCCTGYGCCCTCTTCCCACAGCGATGGTACCCGTCCCACTGCTTCCCCTCCTTCATGGGATCTCAGGAACCTTCCTTCTCCCCTAGTTCTTCTCTGCCCATCCCGGGAGAAGCATGATGGGCACCCACCCTTCAACCCAAGGCAGCGCCTGCCTGTACAAGCTGGTGCCCAGGGCAGCAGGAGAGTGTGCCTCCCCTGCTTTGTGAGCTCTGTGCTGGCAGCAACAGGACACCAGCTCTATGGGCAGCTCTCTGCCTTCCAGCACTGGGAGGGAAGGGTGGTGGGTCTTGCCATGAGCCTGCAAGATCCCAGGGACGTGCAGAGGACCTCAGATGACAGTGTGGAGGGAGGGTGGCTTGACTGGTGGTTGGGGAAGAGGATCATGGCTCTCAGTGTGTATTCTGTCTCCCCACAGCTCCCTTGCACTGGCTGACCTTGAGCCRGAGCTGCGTGACAGCATCGTGGCCAAGCACGGGGACAAAGTGCCCTACGTCTATTTTAACAAAGGACTGTGAATGGAGACTACCTCAGGAGTCATCGCACCCCTCTGGCCTCCTGCTACCACCAATCCCCTGAGCAGGGTCAGAGGCACAGTCCGGCACAGTCCAGCCCAGATCTGCACCCCCACCCTGCACCTTCTCTGCTGCCTTCTTCCACTGTAGAAGCAGGATCTGACTCTGCRTGTCCAGCTTGCAGCACTTTGGCTTGTCCTGAGCCACCCCCACCTGCTGCTGGCCATGTCCCTGCCTTCCCATGTCCCTCTTGCCCTGAGGGATCCCTGTGCTTCCTGTGCCTTCCTCTGGCCCTGCACAGGAGGATCTGTCCAGCCTGTCTGGGCCTCACTGGGTTTGGCCCCACAAGCTATGAGGCTCAAAGCACAATTCTACCTCCAAAAGCAGGTGTCCTGCCATTGTACCAGCAAGCAAATCACATTCCTGCCTTTAACTACCACAGTAGCCTCTTTCCAAGAGCTGGATCATGTCTTGGTGGGTRTGAAGGGACCTGCTCTCTCTGCACCATGAGAGTGACCATCCCAAAGTCCAGAGGCCAATGCTTGGACTATGCCTTCCTTGCTCTCAGGTTCAGGTTTTATTCACTCTGTGATTGTCACAGTCCAGGAGAGAAATAGCTAATTGTTTTTAAGCTCTAACTTTTTTCATTCCTCTGAGGACAAGAGCCAGCTGTCACCCTTGTCCTACATCTCTGGTCCCCACAGCAGAATCATGAAACTGAATCTTTAGGGATAATTGTCTCTGTGCCCCCTTTGACATGGGGAAGAAGACACAGGAATCAGAGAATTGTTAGGGTTGGAATGACCTCTGGAGGTCATCTATTCCAGTCACACTGCCGAGGCAGGGTCACCTGGAGCAGGTTACACAGGAATGTATCCAGGTGAGTTTTGAGTATCTCCAGAGAGGGAGACTCCATKACTTCCMTGGACAGTCTGTTCCTGTGCTCTGCCACAYTCAATGTAAAGAATTTCTTCCTCATGTTGAGGTGGAACTTCTTGTGTTTTACTTTATGGCYATTGCTTCTTGTCCTGTTGCTGGGCACCACTGAAAAGAGCCTGGACCATACACTTGGCACCTGCCTTTGAGACATTTATATGCATTGATGAGATCCCCTYTCAGTCTTCTCTTCTCCAGGCTGAACAGGCCCGGCTCCCACAGTCTCCTCATAAAAGATATTCCAAATCTCTCATCATGTTGTGGCCCTCCACTGAACCCATTTCAGTAGCTCCTCTCTTTCTTGTCACAGAGCTGTCAGGCATCAACTCAGGCTCTGAATAGCAACACTGCAAATGACAGGAAGGTTGAAAAATAAATGCGGTGATTTTTAMAAAACAGCTGTGGGTTGTGCTTCTGGCTGATCTCTGTGTGTCTCTGTGGGCTGGTGTGTGGGAAGGGAAAGGTGTGGGCTTTGTGACTGACCAAGCATCAGGGTGAAGGTGAGCAAAGGGGCCAGGAGAAGGAGGAAGAATGTAAGGGATGGCATGAGCTCTGAAACCTTTGGGCATTCAATGGCAGCCTTCTTCAAGAGGTTCTCGGGCCTGCAAAGTCCCAAAGCGTGTGACAAAAGGCGRTTGAGCTGTGCTCACAGTGACATCCTATTGTGGGGACTGGGAGRACACTGGGTGATCCTTCCTACCCCCATGGGTGCTGCTTATCTTCTTGGCCAGGCCAAGAGTTTCATGGTTCTGTCTTGGGTCTGCCATGAGGCCTCTCCCACCCCAAAGAAGAGCAGCTTGAGTTTGCTGCAGCCTAGTTTGGGGGAGAAARAAGCCCAAGTCCTGGACTAAAGCCCCTGCTTTTAATGATCTGCATGAGGCTCTTTGCTTGCTGATGAACATCCCTCGCTGGGACAAGTGTGTTTCTAACAAGCCACGTGATGTGGCTGCTCCGAGAGCCCCATGGCCCAGTGGATGATCCATGCTCCTCCCTCCAGTGAGGGATAGTGTCAGATCTCTGGGRCAGCAGCATTCTCACATCAGCCTCAATGCCTGAGTAGGGACACATTAACCACTCTGCTCCTTCAGAGAGACCAGCCAAACCCAAAAGGTACTTCTTGAAGTGCCAGGCTGTATCCACAGCAGGTTTGCTTCTGCCCAAGCTGCAACAGGCAAAGGGTAATGTCTGCAATCACGTGTAGCTACTGCCAGAAAGCTGTATAAGAGCTCTGACATAATTAATAGGGGAGMAGAAAGTAGGAAAACATGTTCAAACTTGTATATCTGTTCCCTGGGCATTATTAGATTCTTGTTAAAGCACAATTAAAGTAATAGATAAGCACATGAAATGAAACAGATGTCACTCTTGTTGGGAGTGGGGAGAAGCCACAAGTAGACATCTCTGCTCTCTGCTTTTCTTAAGCTCCTTATCTCAAACTGCTCTTGTCCTGCACCCAAAACAGCTTTGAGTACTTTCAGAATGGCACCTGTAGCAGTCTGGGCTGTGTTTGAGTCGAAGGTGCTTCTGGCATGCTCAGAAACATGTTTGTAAAATGCTGTGCTGCTGCCCTTCCCCTGCGCATCACAGCTGTGCTCCAGCTGTTCACCCCTCCTGCCCYGGCAGTTTCAGGGGCTCCTGGCAGRCAGGGAGCTCTGTGCCCAGTGATTCTGGGGCAGCAGCTACACAAAGCCAAGCTTGGGACCATGGCAGCAAAGCCTCAGCCRTTTGGCCACTCCTTTTTTCCTGTCCCCAGCTGTACTGGAGGGGCAATGGAGCACAGAGAGCCCCTGAAGCGCTATTGCCATCTCACATCAGCTCTCCCCCTGCCCTGGGGAGCAGGACATGATGCAGTTTATTGCTTATGGGCAGAAGAAGAGGTTTGCTCTGGGCTCAGAGAATTGGCAGCCATCCTCAAGACAGACCTTCCCCCCCTTTCCCTGAGCTTATAGCAGTGGATTCCCTCGTCAGGTCGACATGGATTTATGCCAGCTGACAGTTCAGCTCAGCAGGGTTTCTAGGTTTCTAGGTTGTAGCTGGAATCTCCCCCGGAGGATTCAAGTCATCTCAACAGCTCACATCACTCTGGAGATGGTCACTGCAGCCAGTGACCGCCAGCCCTCCCCAAAAAACACACTAACTCTGCAGCCTGCCTTGGTCTCACTGGGGAGCACAGGAGCTGCTGCCAAGCTGTGGCCAGCCCGGCCTCCATTTCCCATTGCAACAGGAAGGAAACCTCATTGCCAAGAGTTAGAGCCAAACTCATCGCCTCCTTGGGAAGAGCAGCAAGTGTTAATTGCTCTCCGACAATGAGTCACACGTGATCTGGGCTTGTCCTGTGCTCCRGTGAACTCCATGCCTTCTCCCTGCTGTGCCTCTAATTTCAGGGCTAGCTGGGAACAGGAATAAAGCTCCTCCAATAACTGTGTGTGGTGGAAATGTCAGTGTTCCAGCATGTTTACAACCTTTCTTCAAATGGTAACCACACCAAAGATGTCACGTTGGTCTGCAGCAGAGCCGGCCTAGGGGCTGGGGAGGCATGGGAGGCTGTTGGGCTCTCTCAAGCACTGGCAATCCCAGCCAGAGGGCTTGGCCAAAGGCTGCTGGAGCCTGGGGTCTGGCTGCCACAGGAAGAGGAGTGAGCACGGTGCARGTGTGATGGGTGAACGCCTGCTGGCCCACACTGGCAGCAGATGGGTGAGCTGGTCTGGCTGGGCTAGGTGCAACCAAAGACTGCCCTGATAGAAAAATGCCAGGGTAGAAGATAAGCTGCTAAGTCGATTWTTTTTTTCTGCCTTTCTTAACGTGTTATCTGGACATCTGATAAACCTCGCCATGCCATGGAGGCTGTCTGGCATGCTGGGAGTGGCAGTGTAGAAACCCTCTGACACTGCCCCAGAAACATGGGCTGTCTCYCCCGAGCTGTGAATCCATGTCAAGTGTGGGTGACCCCACTCCTGCTGGGTGTGTGCAGGGTCACAATGGGGGGGAGGGGGTGCAACACACTGGGACACAGCTGCAGCAGGAGATCCTCTTCTCCATGCTGTTCCTCTCTCCCAATGGTGGTGGCACCAACACGTTCGTGCTCGCTGGACACTTGAGTCCAGTGCCATGCTGCTGCTGCTGCCATCTCAGCACCTTCTGTTCTTGTCAGTGTGACCCCAGTCCAGGAAGGCTGTTGGGGTTTGGGGCAATGTGGGTGCACTGTGGACGAGGCTGAACAGGGGTCATGGTAACCAGGAGTGACCAGGCGAATGGAGGRTAAGTGCCGGGCTGTCACAGGGGGCTGTGGCTGTGGAGGAGGATGCCTATGAGCCCCCTTTTCGCAATGCCCCGTTGTGCTCCCGGGGTTCCATTGCAGGGGGGTGCAGTCCCCCCACACTTTTCCAGCCAATTCCGCCACTCACAACGTGGCGGCCCGAGCACGGCCGCAGGCTGCCACCCCGCTGCGCCACACTCAAGATGGCAGCTCCCTGGGAGCAGACCCCGCCCCTCCMGGTTCCGGCTAAGCGACAGCGCGCTGAGCCAATGGTGAGCCGGCAGCCGGCCCTCCCGCCCAATAGACGCGCGCCGGGGGCGGGGCCRGGTGCGGGGTGCCCCTGGGCTCCCGTCCCGGGCCGCAGTCGGGCCGGGGAGGCGGGAGCGGGGGGTGGGGGGGATGGCGAGGAGGCTCCGCGCCGCCATGGCCCTGCTGCTGCTCCAGGCCCTGCCCGAGGGGCTGCCCGCCGGCGTGGAGCCCGCCCAGGTAGGGGGTGGCCCGCTCGGGGGGTGTCTGGGGTCGCGCCGTGCCGGAGAGCTGCGTCCCTGGGACGGGGGGCGGCTCTGAGCGCGGCGGGCTGCGCCGGCTCTTGGGGCAGGAGGTCCGGCGGGGCTGGCAGGGTGTGCATGGGGTGCCAAGAGGAAGAGGCTTTTGGGGGCCCGTCTAAGGTTTGGGGAGCCCCGTGACTTGAGTGAAGCTGGAGGATATGCAGAGCCCTGGGTCTGGGGGTTTCTGTSTACCGTGGAGATGGAGAAGTGTTGTAGGGATCCAGGCACGGGTGGCAGTGCCGCTTGTAGGGGCTTTGTGCGGCACGGTGGCTGCAGGRCTAGAGAGAAGGGTGTTTGACTGGRCACCAAGGGAAAGGTGGCTGAAGCGAGGGCAGGAGGCTGGAGCTGGCAGGTGCGCAGGGGCCTGTGGGTGGAGGTGCAGGTGTCTTTTGGSGGTGGTGACAGTGAGCAAGGTGACCTGTGAGGGGACGAGGCTGAAGGAGGTTTGGAGTGAGCTGAAGGGTAGCGGTGGGGCAGCTGGCCAGAGGACGTGGGTCAGCAGCAAAGTGGGACCTATGCGGTGCTGCCCAGGACAGATGAGCTGGTGTTCCTGTGGCAGGAGCAACGGAGATGAGGTTCGGCACAAACCTGTGGGCAGCGGGAAGGAAGAGGGAGCGTTTTCGACTGGGATGAGGGGAATCAGGCCTTGTTCTTTGTAGGCTCTGACYATCCATTTACTACCTTTATCATACCTGTAAAGTTTTAATGAAGTTGCCTCCCTCGTTTTCATCTCTTTACACTGCTTCCTGTCTGTGCTGCAATATGTACTGTTCTCATCTCCAGTGGTGGTCTCGAGTATAGACACCTGTAACTTCTCCCACATTGATGTGTATGTTCACTGACCCTCAGTGAGGACTGCACTTGGCCAAGCAACCTGTGTGTGACCTGGATCTTATGGTTATGGAGTCAATATGTCTTTTTCACCCCATGTAGAATATGGATGGAATATGATGACTTCTGATTTGATAAGGTCTATTYTCTATGAGGTACAAATGCAGTTTGCATTTGTTGAAGGTCAGAGATAGTGAGATGCTGATCTGTGACTGTAGGTCACAGGTGCCATGGGGTGCATTGTGTTTAATGTCACAGGGATGCAGATGGATGTGTCCTTCTGGAAGGGGTCCACTAAAATACTTTTCAATACTTTTGCAGAAGAAGGACGCGAGGAGTTTGTYTGTGATTACAGATGCTATTCCTCTTTTGAATTATGTTCTTTTTTTTCAAGGTGTTGAGAGCACCAGATCTACTTTAAAAGCTCTGTAATTCCCTGTTGGTAGTGCCATCCCAATTCCCTTTCTGCCACACTGAGGCTTGGGCTTGGCTGTTGCTGCCCTAGGGAGCCAGATGCAGGATTGTGTTGAACTGTGTGTTTTCCACATTGTCTCAACTGCCTTTAACAGATGGAAGTCCTGGTCYTTGTTCCATTTCACCTGCAGGCTGAGGTACATAAACTAAATGTAAACAAGCACATCTTTGAATGATCCAGTTTGATCTCTGGTTGTTGTGGTATTCCAGCTGTGAGCAGTGGTCAGGTGGTAGGATTATCTGTTTGGTAGCTGAGTCTCTTCAACCCTATACATGCTAATAAA